GCGGCGCCGGCCGCTGGCGCAGGGATGCTGCTGCTCCCAACATCCCACCCCAGAGGCAGCGGTGCAGAGCAGGACCCGTCGCCCCAGCACTGAGCTGCCCCATCGCTCATCCCTGACGCTGCCCCTGGGGGTCGGAAAGATTAATAAATAGACGAAGCTACAGAATGAAAATCAAACCAGAAACCACCCGAAAAGTGCAGTTCGTGTTCTCAGCGCAGGAGGAAGCGCTCGCGGGCCTGCTTCTCGATGGAGTGCAGCTTGGCAGTCCTCAGCGCCACCAGCAGCTCCCTGGTGACCGGGTGCCCCTCTCTGAGGCTGGTGAGCAAAGCTCGGAACTTCTCCTGCGTGTCCGCCCGCGTGCCCAGCGTCTTCTTCCTCGGGGAGTGCGTCAGGATCTGCTGCAGGCGCTTCAGCTTCCTGATGGGGATGTTCTGGTACGCAACAAAGTCTATCAGGGCTTGCTCACAGTCGTCGTTGTCCGGAGCTGCTGGGAGAAAAGCACCCAGAGGTTAGGGGGAAGGTGAGGTGGGACAGCAGGAGAGCAGGTCCCTGCTGAGCCTCTCCATGGGACGTCTGCCCAGAGAGGTGGGAGATGCCGCATCCCTGGAAGCGTTCAAGCTCAGAGGTTGGACGCGGTTCTGAGCAACATGGTCTAGTTGAGAATGTCCCTGCCCATTGCATGGACACGGGATGGACTTTACAGGTCCCTTCTAACCCAAAGTAGTCAATGATTCTGTGATGTGGTCCTCACCTGGGCGCTGATCTCCAGCCACAGCTCAGACTGGGGGTCCCAGCCCTGTGAGCCCAGCCAGGAAACCCATCTCTCTCAACCCATCTTCCAGATTTGAGAGGGTGTTTTAGCCCACACAACCATGCACGTTACGTGAACATAAAATGGGACCACCTGCCCTGCTCTGCCCATGGCCAAGGATGCAGCAGCATCTGGCTCACAGCAGCTTCATCCTCTGCCAAAACCAAGGCTTGTGGCGCTGGCAGCGTGTGCTGGAACCAGCGGGTCAGAACGAACATTGTGCAAGTAGAAAAAGTGAGGTTGGAAGGAAAAAGAAGGAGGAAAACACCAAATACAGCATCATTAAGTGGCCAAGGCTCATGTCTGCAGCTCACTGGCCGGGGAGGCTGGGTCCAGCCCATCCCGTACAAAATAGTTAGAAAACAACTTGTAAAAGCACCTTGACATTTGAAAACACCAAATACACTTTTTCTCCCTGCTCCTTCCTGCGTGGGAACAGCGGAAAAGGGGAACTCCAGAAACCCTGAGGTCATTGCAGCAAGTGTTCAAACTTGTTGTTTGTCCTGGCAGTTTTTCCTATGCAGGTTTTTACGTCTCGAGGCAAGATCAAGCCCAAGCTCAGCCTCCTCTGGGGCTTTTGGAGAACCCCAGTCCCAGTTGGCTGAAGCTCTGCTGGAGCGCACCACCGAGGGATGAAATCAGAGCGTTCAAGAGGGTGAAGTCAAGCCATTACTCAGTCAGGTAGAGACAAGCCCGGTTTCATGCCATTGCAAACTGGGAATGGTTTCACGGGTTACAGTGGGGTGGGTCGGGCTCCCTTACCCAGATTCTCTCCTCCGCACTCAGGTCTGAATGGAAGAGGAGCATTCCAGCTCTCCCTGTTGGAGCACGGAGGTGCCCACACTCCTCCTCAGTGAGATCATGATGAAACAGGCCTAAAAATACACCTCGGCTCCGCGGCTGACGTGCTCCTCTCCTCTATAAATAGCTGGAGGTCAGGCTGGCCACGGGTGCTGCTAATGCTGCTCCCGCCTGGCTGTGCCCTAGGACCGTGTCCTGCTCACAACAGAGCTTTCCAGCTCCTCTCTCCAGTGGGATCACGCTCCTGGCATGGAGCTGGTGGTGTGAGTCAGGCTCAGTGATGAGAAATGGTCTGCACTGGCAGTGCCAGGAGAGGATGGAGAGGCAAGAGCTCTTCTTGCACAGGACTGAGGGGAGCAGCCTCCATGCACCATCAGTAGCTTTTCATGGAATCATGGAATACCAGTCTGGAAATGACCTCATGGATCATCTGGTCCAACCTTTCTTAACAAAGAAAGCTTCTACTGAAGCTCTTCCATCAGCTTCATCTTGATGGAAGGAAGTTCATTATACTGGACCAACCTCCGCAGGGATGCAGTGAAGTCCCATTGCTGGAGGTTTCTGGGACACGGCGGGACACGGTGCTGGATAACCTCATCCATGTTCCCATTCCCATGACAGGTTGGGCCAGATGAACTTTCAAAGTCCCTTCCAGCCTGCGCTGTCCCGTCACTCCAGGTTTGATTTGTTTGGGAAATTCAAGGTGCAGGTTCACTGCCACCCGGATCAACCACACTGAGTTTGTCTCCTGTGGGTCTCGATGTTGGGGCAGAGTGGGTGGTTTGGAACAGCTGCCCGTGGCCCCTCACCCGTGGGATGGTTTTCAGCTCCTTTCTCATCCTCTGACAGGTTGGGGTGCACGTTACGAAGCGCCCCTGCGCCAGCCCATCACTCTCCCCTGCTCCTTTGCTCTATGCTTTAGCCAAGAAAGGTTGGAGCAGATGATCCCTCAGGCCTCTTCCAACCTGGGGTTCTCTGATCTGTGCCCACTTGCCTTCAGCCTCCACCGAGGCTCAGCTTAATCACAGTGACACAAACGACACCACGTCTCTATCACGTAACAGACCAAACTCCACGCTATGCTCAGCTCCAGTGGACCTCGGATCTGCTCCTTTCAGCCTGCCTGAGACAAGACTGTGGCCATAGCAAAAGGTCCTGGAAAACGGGCTGAAAGCCCAGGAGAAGTGGGAAGCCAGAGGAGAAGAGCCGTGCCAGAAGCAGAGTTGGGCATCTCAGTCCTTCACACTGAGCCTGTTTACATGACCCAAACACTGGTTATTGCCGCGAGCTACCGGTTACAGCTGAATGGCTGCCAAAACTGTCCTTGTGTCCCGGAATCCCCAGTTATCCCAGTTTCTGGTAAGAACTGGTGGGATTTCACTGCCAGCTCTTTGTTGTCTCTGAGCAAGGAGCCTGCGCAGGCTCTGGGTGAGCCCTGCACCCTGCCCTTGCTCTAACGGACCAACCCTGAAGGTGGAAGAAGGCAGAGAGACTAGATTTTATCCATAACCACTGTTAATGATGGGTCATTCCACACTTTTACAGGCTCTTTCACCTCATTTTGCATCTAAGTAGGAAAAAGCCATCAGAAAGTTCCCTCTCACCCTGGCAGCGTCATGGGCTCAGCAACCCCACCGAGCCACAGCTCACCTGGTCCCTGCGTGCTGTTGCTTCTGTCCCGTCTGCAGGAGGTGCAGAGGGTGTCGTGGTACTGGTTGCCCTCCACGTTGACCACCTTCCCCTGCTGCTCGCAGTCCTGGTGGGGCTGGCACGGCTCGGTGCTGGAGCTGGAGGAAGAGAAGAAGCCGCGGGGGCAGGCGCGGCACTGGGTGTTCTCAAAGGGGGTACCTGCAAACGGAGAGGGAAGGGGACATCAGCCTGGGGTGATGGGCTGGCCAGGAGCAGGGCAGGAGCTGGGGGTGACGCCAGCAGAGCATCAGGCACCATTCGAGCACGAAGGGAATGTTTTGGAAGCAATCACTGCCTGCAACTCCCCTGGAAGCGTGTGTCTTCTAACAGGACAAACAGCAACGCTTTCCACCATCATCTCTCAAGCCAAAGCACTTGCCAAAGGCTGATAAATTGGCAGCAGCACCCAGAGACAAGAGGAGATCTCATCTGCCACTGAGAAGAGCCACCTCCCGGGCCGGGGGCACCCGAGGGGACACCGGATAAGCCGAGCGCCAAAGCAGCCCTTTGATTCACAGCGGAGTCGGGAGGCTCCTGGTCAAGTGAAAGTAAAAGCCAGGCAGAAGGTGGAAGCTGCTGCTTCCCACCCAGGCTCGGGGCCAGACCTGCTGCTGTGTCACAGGGACGGGGCCACGCGAGTGAGGTTGCACCAGGGCACCCGCACGTTCCTTGGGAGACGGGAATGGTGCTGACAGGCAGCAGCGGGTGTCACACCCCTCTTCACCTCCTCTTCACACATCTAGTCAAGAAGGAGGTTTCTACCTTGCCAGAACCCACTTTGAGCCACAGCTTTGGCTTTACCAGAAGTCCCAACTGATGACCCCAACGTCCAGGTCTGTATCTGTAAATGGAATGTCCAAAATAAAGCCCATGTCCCCAGAGGAGCCGCACATGGACCAAGGCACCCATCCTGCCCGCGCCACAGGGTCCTCACTGTCCCCACCCAGACTCCAGCACTCACAGCCCCAGGGCTCTGCCTGCTCACACTGGTGCTCAGTCCTTGCTGGGGGGCCAGATGTCGGGGCTGGGGCATCATTCCCCACACAAAAAGCCATTTGTGAAGAATTAATAACAGCCACTAAAAATTGAGCTTCTCCTCACACGTCCCATCTTGCTCTTGTGGCTCCTCAGCCCTACAGCCAGGTTTGATGGTTCATGTCAAAGGGCTTCCCCACGTCACTTGCAGACCTACTTCACCTTCTCCTGCATTAATGCATTTCGTACAGTCACATCCCACAGAATAATTAAACCCTGAACCTCAACCATCAGCATCAGCTGAAGACCACCGGTATTTCTCCGCTGGCCTGTGGGCCTGGAGCTCTTCACCACGCATGGAAAGACTTCAAAAGCCTCCTTAAAGCGCGAAGCAAGGTAACGCTGGGTTTGCCACTGCTGCCCACGCTGGTTTATTGCTGTTATACCAGGCTGTGGTTTCGAGGCAGAGCCTGGTCCTGGGTGACAGTGAAACCTCTCGCGCGCAACTTGTGTGTTTAGAAAGGTTGAATGGGGACAACCAAAGGACGAGGTGAATTTGTGCTGGGGAACCAACGGAAAAATAACCCCCCTAAAATCCCCTGTGGCTCCCTCCATCTCACCAGGAGATGGAGTCTCAGACTTGTGAATCTCCCCCAGCTGTGAATCAAAACAAGGCTGATTTGATGCTCTTGGGATCTGAGCGAGCACCTATTTCATGTTTTGAATATGGCCTCTCCAAATTGCTCAATAAACCCCACAAACCCCAGCCCCAGAGCTACACACATTCACCAGCCCTGCCCTGGCCTCGTCAGAACCTTTTCCAGTCCGGATAATCAGGAGAAGGAGGCTGACGGAGGAGCGGGAGCTGCTCAGACCTTTCCACCCATGGGGAGCGCTGGCAGGGGGGACCGCCGCGGCCGGCGCTGGCAGGGTGACCCGCTGCGGCAGGATGGGGAGATGATCATGGCTCTGGCTCTTGCAGCAGGTAACCAGGGTCACCACGTCCCATCTGAGTGAGGTGCTGGGGGATTTCACAGGCTTTCAAAGCAAAAGCAGGAGGGAAAAAAGCCAAGAATCGCTCCTTTGAGAAGAATCCAGAAGCAATTTCTTGTGCCAGCAAGGGCAGAACCGCCCTGGTGAGCAAGAAGAGAGTAGCTCAGGCTATGGGCAACCATCAGGTGCTGTGTTTCTCCTTGACTTTCAGCTCCAGCAGAGATCTGGGGATGTGACAAGAGCCTCAGGAGCACACACCCCGCAGAGGCAGAGGTACTCACCCAGCTTCTCCACGCCAAAGCCCGGCAAACACTTGGAATGCCGGACGCAGAATTCCATCTCGGAGAAGTAGCCGTCCTGGCACTGGCAGACGCGGTTGTGGGTGGAATTGCACTGCTGCACCTCCACCTGCTTCTCCCCGCAGATGACGTTACAGTACCGGCACTTCTCCAGGTAGTTCCAGTACTGTGTGTAGTGCAAATCGGGGCAGGGCTCGCACCGCGTCGGCTCGTCCCTGGTGCAGTGCTGGGCCACGAAGGTCCCCGGCGGGCACTGCTGGCAGGTGAGCGGCACGTTCGACACGGCATCTCGCCATTGGTACGTGGGTTGGGTGCTGCAGCCGAGCTTGGCCAGGAGAAGGAGGAGGGGAGCAAACATCCCCTACAGCAAAGAGAACGGAGAGGGCCTTTAGCTCGTCCTCTCGCAGAGGAAGAAGCAGCAAACGCAACTGCTGTGTCACAGAATTCCTTACTGGTGTAGGTACAAGGGATTATTCTCCCGCCTCATGCTCTCCCCAGCCCCAGGAGTAAAGCAACAGTGATATCAGGGACCAGATGCTACCCCCATGCGCCTCCCCATCACCCTCCTCTTGCCACCCCAGCTGACAAAGCATCCTTCCCAAATGATGCTTCCCAAGCCCATTTTGGGATGCCTTCACAACCCGATTCCCCTCTCTCGGTCCTAAAAGCAGCACCAGCACATTCCCCTCTTTTCATCCCAATCAACTCCCCACCACCGGGGGTAAGAAAGACCTTTGGCAGACCAAGAAGCAGAAGTTCCCCAAACTAGCAGATACGCAGCACACTCCAGAGGGGCCCTCAACTGCTTTGTCACCCAGATACTCAGTATAAGATCAGAGAACCCCAGAGCCCTGTTTATCCTCCCTTCTCAGAGCACGTGTGCCCAGACTTCAGAGCAGATGGTACTTTACCTTGGATGGGTGCCTTAAATTCGGCACGGGGCCGGAAACCACCATTGCACTGGGGGCTTCCGAGCGCCGTGAGCTGCCTGGGGAGGCACAGGGGGCGCCTCGAGGGCTGGTTCTGGCTCCGGGGGCAGCGGCTGGGCTCTGCAGCAGCGGTGCCAATCCTCCTGCTTTGGAACAGAGAGAGAGGGAAGGAGTGTCAGGAAAGGCTGCGTTTCCCCGTGTGCGTTTCAGAGACCCTCCCTCTGAGGAGGATACCGCTCTCCCCAGCCCGGGCACCGCAGC